ACTGATGTCTTGATTGTAAATTGTAATATTAATTAAAATTTTGTTATGGTTCTTCACTTTGATATTAATTTAAATATCACAACAGTTGTGAAATATAATATCATTTAAATATTATTTTTTAAAATCATTACAAAGTAAAATCATGCTATATTATTGAATTTTTTTCAAATAATATTATTATGTTAAAATTTTAATTTTATTGTGTTTTTTTTTAAAAGAAAAAACCTTATTTTTTGGATGTTTGAGATTGTGATCCAAAGTATCTTTGGAATAGTTTTTTGTTTATAAATATATTAAAATAATTATTTTTTTATTTTTTATTTTTGACATCAATATATTAAAACTATTAAAAATTACTAAAACATATCAGTTTAATTTTTTTAAACAAAAAATATTTTTAAAAAGCATATAAAAATAGAAATAGAAATTGTGCCAAACACCATATTTGTTTAATATAATCAAATTTTAGCACCTTTTTGCATAGTTATTTAACCTAACCTAACCTGATGAATTGAGCTGGAATCTTATCAAATTGGTGACTAGATCGCTTCGGGTTTATTAAAAAATCAGTCGATGCAACAACTAGGCAAAAGCCGGTCAATTCATGACCCGAGTGAACCTAGACGAGACCTTTGTTTTCCAAATGTGGTTTTTCTCTTATAATTTTTTTATTCAGTTGGTTATAAACACATTTTAAAGTTCACTATATAAATATTAGAAAAATATTTTATTTTTTTAATATAAAATTTAAAACTTTGTCATATATATATTCTATGTTCATAATAAAAAAGTTATATTTTTTTAATATGAATTAAAAAATCTTTTGGTTTAAATACTTCAACTTAAAAAAATAATATAGTATCTTTTTATGTAAGATTTGAAACCCTTTAATATATATACTCTCTATTCCTAAAGAAAAAAGTTATTTTTTTAATGTGAGATTTGAAACCCTTTAATATATATACTTTATGTCTACAAGAAAAAAAATTATATTTTTTTAATATGAAATTTAAAACCCTTTAATATACATACTCTATATCTTTAAGAAAAAAATTATTTTCTCATTGTAGAATTTGAAGCTTGTTTTTATGTATAGTCTATCTTCACAAGAAAAAAGCTATATTTTTTGAATATATGATAAAAAAATTTTTAATTTAAATACTCCAACTTAAAAGGATAACATAATATTTCTTGAATGTGACATTTGAAGTCATTTAATATATATATATATTCTATATTCACAAGAAAAATACTATTTTTTCAATGTGGGATTTAAAGTCCTTTATTATACATACTCTATGTTTACAATAAAAATTATATTTTTTCAATATGGAATACAATTTGTTTATTTAAATACTTTAACTTAAAAAGATAACATAATATCTTTTCAATATGGGAGAAAAAAATTTAAAATATTATTTTAAACTTCATTATTTACAATATTTATAGCATATATTCACATGAATTTTTTTTTAATTTTTTTATATGAAATATTACATCTTTAAATATTTTTTAATTTTTCTAGGTTGATCCATAAAACCAGAAACGTGATCCCTTGACCAAGTCTTTTTAATTTTTCTAGGTTGATTCATAAAACCAGAAACGTGATCCCTTGACCAAGTCAATATTGAGGTTAAGTTTGATAACTATACATTTTTGCAACCAATGATGATCAATAAAAATTGAAATCTCTAAGCCTTTTCCTTCAATTCATGTGGGAATCTACTAAATCATAAAATCATTTATATGTTATATGAAATAATTCTCTATTAGAATTAAATTCAATTATAGTATTTAATTTAAATTTAATTGTTAAATAAGTTGAGTTCACATATTTAAAAAATATAAAATTCATTTTATTTTTTATATTACCATCATTGCCTTCATTTTATTTCTTCAAAGGTTTTCTTAAAAAAAAGGCTAGATGTGTATTCTAAAAAAAACTAGTTTTAATATTAAATTTATCCACTTTATAATTGTAATTAAGAAGGGTTCATCTTTGATTTATTTTTGTAAATTTTTTAAAGAATGAATTTTATTTGAAATTCAAATCATAACACTTAAAAAAATTTCAAATATGAGATTTTATTAAAATATCTGAATTAAATTCAACTTTAAAAATTTCAAATATGTTGCTAGCGACATGAAATTAAAACCAGATCTAACTATCATGAGTAAAACACAAATTATGTTAAAAATGATAATGAATTATTTAGAAAAAATCGATTAAATTTGTTATATGAATACTTATTACTAAACCATCACATTAATAGGCACCAAATAAATTTTAAATCAAAGTCTAGTATATGTTAATCCAACACTATATAATTTTTTTTTAATTGTAGGTGTTTGAGTCAATTTACGTGCATATCGACTAATTCCTTGAAATTCTAAAATTAAAAACCATATAGGTTTTCAGTAACTCTAAGGCTTGTAGCACTCAACTTAATAATTTTTAAAAAATAAATAACACCAATTACATTACACCTAACACTGTATATATATTTTTTTTCATTATATTGATTGTATTAGTAGTGAGAGCAGTGAAAATTACATAAAACTTCCATGGAACTATAATAATCAAGCATAAATCGTTGGCTTCCATGGTGATTTGCTGGCTGATGATCAATTTATTTGTATATTTCGCATCAAATTGAAGCTCACATTGCCATTCACATATCATGCTATATGCAACAACATGGAATTATTCTATTCTATGTAAAGATTCATGCATGTAGGGAAACTTTGAGCAGGTGCTGCGTGATGAAAGTCCAATTTAATCCAATGAGAACATTCTTGGAAAGCTCGAAAACAAATATATTATTACATATATTTATTTATTTATTTATTTTAAAATCCATAGTTAAAAAAGTTGAAGGGCCCCAAGTCATCGGATTC